CTGCATCTTTGGTTGTCTCAGATGGCAAATCCTCTTGGCATTCTGGTGCTGCRTCTTTGGRTGTCTCAAATGGTAAATCCTCTTGGCATTCTATTGCTTTATCTTTGGGTGATTCATATGGGGATTTAGATTGGGTATCTCCACTATGTGGTGCAGATGTTACCTTAGGCTGAAAGTCTTGCATAATCTCAGATGTCCTATATGTTTTAGGGTCAGAACTTAAGACTTGATTACGGCATGGTATAACAACATCAGAAGCAACAGTTATATCTTCTACGACTTTTGTTTTCTCAGCCCCTTTGTTTTCTTCTATTCTTGACAATTCACTTTCATTAGGCTCGTCAACTCCAGACTTTGAAGCTCTTAAGTCTTGCTAAACGATATAAAAGAAAAATGGTATTACTAAGTTTGACAACGAATGACCATCTAACAAAACCAGCTTCAATGATCTCTTCAATAGAACATAGGCATCATAGAAATTTTCCTAATGGGAATAATATTTACAGCTATCAAACGAAATAGGAAAAGGAATTCTGGAAATTCACTAAGTTATGCTATCATCAAATATCCTAATATTGTTGGATTGAGTTATTTAAGTTTTCCAAATTAGCATAGTGCAAAAAGTAGATGGAAAAAAAATGAAAGAACATAGATCTAACTAGTACATCCACTTCCAATTAAAAGAAAGAGAAGAAATGGGATTGGTCTATTTATCAAATGCGGCATTTAGGGTTAGCGTATTTTGGTAGTCTTACAAAGTTACCTAGAAACAGCGATTATTATGTGGAAAATGRTAATCCATCTTAAAGTTAAAACAGATACAACAATTGTTTTAATAATTTTTGGTTTTTATTAATTAATCATACTCCCAAAATTGGAAAATTTTTATTACAAACTTGTAAACTGTCACTCAAACGTTAGATTTGTGAATGGCTAGGACGTTTTAAATGATAGATCTGTTATTTGTTAAATGATAGATCTGTTATCACTAATGTAACTAACTGGTATTGATGTTTATGACACACTAGTCTTTTAATCTATACTGTACAGTGTTGTTACTATGTCATGATAAAATTAACTTCAATTCCATTGCTGATGAAGTCAGATCTGTAAAGTTTGATGTCTTCTCCCAGGCTAGCATTTCAACAATCCTCAATCAAAGAAGAGCAATAAAAAAATGTGTCATTAAAAAACYAACTCATAATCATTAATCACCACTGCAAGTATAGCAGTGGCGCAGCTCAACAGGGTCGAACTGAAAGCATGTGAAGCTGGCTCTGGCAGCCACTATGCAGTTAATGTGTGAAAAAACAATATAAGAAACAATAGCTTGTGGGCGATTTTGCACTGAATTAGAAATTTTAGAGGAATAGGAATAAAATATTTAATTCGTTCTAAGATCTTTCTCAAAATATTATCTTTTATTGCAGTTCTTTGATTGACAGTTGTTGAAATGCTGGTCGGCGAACAAGATATTAAACGTCGCAGGTTGCACTTCAACGATAATRGTCGTATATTTTTCATACAAGTGCCTTTAAATGACGTGGCCTTAAACTCTGGTATCTCACTTCAAATCAAATAGTTATGATATTTTAGAGTTTAATTCTATAAAACATTATCTGACTCTTTTGAATGCCAAGTTTACAAAGTCACAACATCCTCAAAATATGTTAAGTTTACAAAGATTAGGAAAATAGGAAGACAAAAGCATGAAATGTGACCAGCACTGTCTAAATACCTACTTTATACACACATGCAATAGTATTAGTTTGTTAACGAACTAATGATCTAATCATACCACATTTTAATATTTTAAACTTGTAGCTGCAAGCTGCACAATGGAATTTTTTTTKGGAGCCATCAATCAAAACTAATCCGTTGGTACCTTTTACATCCTCAAGTAGTGGCGGTAAAAAAAAAACGAATTTCAATAGGCAACTTACTGCTACTGAGTTCATTTTATATTGACAATAAAATATTAATATATTAATATACTAATGTATAACTAATAATATCAATTTTCTATTGTGTTGTATCCTCGTTTTCTTTCTTTGGTGAATCTGGATTCTCATTAGAAAATCTAACTTCATCAAGGGTTTGTATCTGAACTTCTGGACTGGGTGATGGAACAGGTCCTTGCTGGTTATTGTCACTTACCAAACCTGCATCATCAAGGTTGTTTGACGATGATGTGGCGCCAGTTGTTTCACTGGCAATCAGAAGAGCTGTTTCTAAAAGAAAAAAACCACAATTAATGTGACTGGCTGACTGATAGAATGTATGGTGAATATATAAATGTATTGTATTGATGGAACATTGGATGGATGGGTACGGGTAGACAAATGGGTGGATGGAAAGACGGGTAGTTAAAATTGAAAGAATGGGTGAGCAAGTGAATAAATGACTGTACAATTAACATATCATATGGCAAGGTTTGACTGACCAATAGAATGTATGATGTATATATGGATTTACTTATGTATGTATGGATGGATGGGTACGGGTAGACAAATGATTGKATGGAAAGATGGGTGGAAGAGCGAGTGGATGGAAAAACACATGGCAAGGATCCATAATCAGTAACGACTTCTTGTATCCCAACTTAAAATAAAAGACTTATCATTTATTTATAATTGAAAACAAAGTACCTGCTAAAGAGTCTGCGGAATCGTGAGAACCTACAACTCCATTTACATTTTCTTGTGCTTCAAGGAATTCCTCTTTTTCAGCTTCCAGTTCTTTCTTATCTTCTTCTTTAGCTTTTATTCCATTTTCATCCACAGCTTCAGTGGGAGCTTCTTCTTGACTCACAATCAGATCAACATCAACTGCCGCAACTGGTTCTTTAGTTTCAGCGTTGTTATTTATATTTGTGCGAATCAGCTTATTAACTAGGTCTTTGCCTTCTTGATCAAACAGCCTTACATTATAAAACCCAGCGTCATTCTGAGTTATAACTTCTGCCTCCACAGTGGTCTCTGTGTATTCTTCATTCAGCTTGTCAAGGACATGACTTGCACTTGATTCTGGTACATCAAGGAGGCAAAACCTCACAGCTTGCGTTGGAAGTTGTGTGAATGACAAACTAATGGGACTGATTCTACTGCTTTCAACTTTCTCAGAGTTTCCATAATCTACATATTTCACTAGTATCTGAGCTCCAATGATATCAATTACTTCTGCTCTGTACCATTCATCATCCTCAGTAAATTTAGCTAGACATGGCTTACCAACAGATATTTCAGATACATCTATTGCTTTAGTGGGTTTATTCTCAGCAATTTTATTCATCAAACCTACCAAGTCGTTCTCATTGTTTTTAGGCTGTACCCAGATGCACTCTAAACTCTCAGCTGTTAAAAATATCACAGGTTCTTTTTTGTTGACAGTAAAAGATGCTGCAGTGAATGAGCAAGGTGCTAATTCTGTGGCGGAGGTGAACTCTGGCAAATTGTTAAGACAGGTTCCATCTACATCAAGTATAACATTCCACCCACGGTCACCAGAACTTACAAATTTAACCTTCAGAGTTTTTTCAAGCATTTTCTCTTCCAGCATTATAGTGTCAGCTTCAGACCAGTTATCTTTAGTACTATCAAGTCTACATGGTATGGCAAGCTTGGAGATTTCACAGAGCTGTGGTCTCAGACTCTTCATTGAGGAGATGGATGTTACTTCTGAATTTCCAAAATCAATGAATGTTACTTTAGCTTCGGAATCAGAGAGAATTTCACTCACAACTGCTCGGTACCATTGTTCATCTTCTGAAAACTTGACACAGCAAAATGAACCAACTTTACATTCGCCAAGATTCTCATGTGATGGATCAAGGGATGGATAGATTTCTGATATCATATTTGTAACTTCRTCTATTAAGGGATCACCATTGACGTGTAAATAGAAGTATCCTGTTTCTTCTACGTGGCTCAAACTACATTCAATCTCTTGGCCAGCTATGATTTCYTTATCTTTAATAGAAGTTACACTATGTTGCTGTACTGATTCCTCTTCTGGTGCTCTCTCTTGATTTTCTTGCAGTAAATTTACTAGAGAATTRCCATCTTTATTTAACCGTACTTGCCATTTACCTTCATTCTTGTGAAGAAATACTCCATCTAGTTCTTGGTCAAACACAAGGGCTTCAAACCTTTCAATGTCTTTATCCGTGCACTTATGTGTATTCTGGATTACTTCCAGTGAACACTTGATTGCAAAAACTGGAATATCCATGAACTCTTCTTTTAAAGCCAATACTTTGGATCTCTCAACCATGTCAGAGTTACCATAGTCAACAAACTGAACTCCAATGTGTTTGTCATCAGGAATCGCAGTTACAATGCTTCTATACCAGCTGTTATCTTCTGAGAATTGGGCACAACATACAGACCCTAGCTCTAGCCTTTCCAATGGATTTGACTCTGATCCTGGATACAAAGCATTTAATCTTATAGCCAAGTTAGCCATTTCTTCTGTTGAGGAATCCATTTGAAGGTAAAATTCATGTGGACTGACAGTATGGCTGACATAGACTTTAGCGTTGGAATTTTCAGAAATGTTTTGCTCTGTGAATGTAGAGGTTTTTGTTGCTGTAGGTTGTGAATCTTCGACCAGGCTATCAGCTACATCCACACCATCAATTTTTAACTCCACAGTCCAGTAATCACCATCCTTCTTCAAAAACTTTGCTTTGATCTGTCTATCCATTACAGCATTCTCTACCATCTCCTTGGAAGCTGCAGATATTTTGGGGTCATTAAGAGTACAAGACACACCCTGCTTCGGGAGTCCAAGGCATGACTCTGGTAATGCTCTCAAATCTGATATAGCCAYGGTAGCAGAATTCCCATAATCTATGTAATGAACATCTACTTGTCCAGATGACGGTGATGACATGATGACAGCTCTGTACCAACCATCTTCAAACAGCGCACAGCATGGCATTCCTACATCAATATTCTCCTGCTTCAATGGGATACTGCTAGCTCGACAAGAGTTATCGATTATTGCCATTAGTTCATCTAGTGCATTGCTGTGTTTTGAGAGTTGAAGGGATAGCTGGGTAGAGCTGGATAGATAAACTACATAGACATCTTCTACTTGGTTGGGCTGTAGTACTTGTTCAGGAATTTTTGGTGGAGCTGAAAGAAGAAATTTGTGTTCAATTCTAAGAAATGTTTGATTTTATATTTAATGCCATTTCTCCTGTGCCCCACATTAGAACTCCGACTATTTACTAATACAAAGGTGCTCTTTCCATTTCTCTAATTTATTCAGGCTCTAKGCATAAGTATTGTAAAATAATTAATTTGTAAATGTAAATATGTAAATGTAATAATAATTTATTTTGAAAAAAAAAATTATTTTAATCACTCAACAAAATTTCAGTAAGGGATGCGAAGCGACGCGGTTCACCCCAGCTATACCAAACATTCAAGCAGGTTTGTGTACTTTTTTTTTGTATTTATGTTTATCACTTTTTCTCTTAACGTTTCTATAGCATTTTCATCAAGAACTGCGAAAYGACTATCGGCCATTTTTACGCTCAAACTTGCCGCTGTTGACATTGTTTTRGCTGTGTTTCCATAGTGACTTAATTYRGTACTCCTACGGAGTACAATTAACGCTATAATTGTACTCCTCTCAACCAATCAGAGTCGTGTAATTTTGTTGAGTGTACTATAAGTTTGAAAATAAATTGAATTGAATTTATTCTGAAACAAATTTATACTTCATTTGTTGCATGGGGAGGGGGAGATAGGGTCATGTCAATTTTTAATGCAAATAGCCTATGGTTGCATAATCTCAAAGTTAACTTCAGCTTTTCACACATAAAACCAAGACAGTCTCCTTATATTATTTTTAAACAAAGCTGGTCAGTGCATGCTCAATAGCTGTGGCTTGGCCRGCCACATTATTTGCTTTTTCATTGCTGTTTGCTTTGCTTGTGTTTAATATTTACCTGGTTTCTCAAGGACTGAATCGGTGATGCATTTAGTTTCCTTGTAAATCTTGACTAGRTATCGACCATTCTCTTCCTTTAATATCTCAGCAACCATCTTGTCTTCACCAACTACAGCTGTAAACTTCTCTGTTTCTTCCTTACTCCAGCCTGATTTCTGAAAGTCTATTGTGCATTCAATGGACAGCTTTGGAAGCTTCATAAATCTTGGTTCAATCAGCTTTACTTCGTGTGGTTTGATAGTCTGGGAATTACCATAATCAACAAACTTGACATTCAGATCTTTTAGAGTCATGCCTTGGACTACTGCACGATACCAATTGCYGTCACCTTCAAAGACTGCTACACACGGCTGTCCAACTACAGGAGACACCAGGCAGCCTGCAGTGTCTTCAAGTTTGCTGTAGTGATTATAGATGGAGTCCATCACTGGAAAAAGGAGAATATATAGGATATGAGGGATAAATTGTAAGAAAGGCAAAAAAAACCCCAGCTTTTTCCAGTAACAAAGTATGCAGGATGGGTAGATGGAAAGTGCTAGAGGTTTCGCAACCCACTTGATAAGGCTACCGATAGATGGAATTAGAATTTAGTAAGCTTATTTTTTAGGAGGGAGGAAAGACTAGAGAAAAAACCTCAAAGCACGGGAGGAAGTTAATAAGCATGAAAAAGTGTSAAGAGAAGCATAAGACATAGATAAGTGCTTCTTGTACTTCTTGAGTGCTTTTGGGACTTCCTACGAAAACCCTGCATTGCAGTTTCCAAAGCTATTTTCTTGTGCTTCTTTCTAAAGCAGGCTGCTGTTGTTGATGCRTAATCACCATGCTCCATTTTCTTATACAGCACACTTTTCCTCCAGTCATAGTCCTTGTAGTGAGGTGATTATAGAATACAATTATAAATACTTACTCTGATTGAGATCATCTCCAAATTCTGCCAACTGACAGCAAAACTGCCCAGGTGATGTAACATCAGTGACATACACTTCTATCTTCCCACCAACTTGAATATCTGGAGACTTGTATGTCTGGGGTTTRTTGCCTTGCTTAGGTGAAGATTGCTTGGGTTTCTGTACAGGTTTAGCAGCAGCCTGTTGCCTTGCCACTGCAAGACCTTCTCTGATGAGTCTGTCACATAGATCACCTTGTTGGTCAAATAGTTTTACTTCCAAAATGTCTCCACTTGCAATTACTTTAACTTTGAAGCCATCATCACCTCCTAYATTTTCTAAGAACTTGGTAGCTTCCTTGGGCCAATTAGGAGCCCCTCYGGAGGGTTGTATACCAGATAGTTTACATTTAACTGTAAGAATAGGCTCCTTGGTAAATTCATCTGAAAGTATTCTTATGTCGTTTAAAGCAAGAGTCTCTGTATTGCCATAGTCAATGAATCTTACTGTGGCATTGCCTGGAGAAACACCTGCAACTACTGCACGGTACCAGGCATTATCTTGTGAGAACAAAGCAGCGCATRCTTGACCAGCAGTAACTGACTGTACACTCAATGCCATTGCTTGTGGTGATTCATAGAAAGCAGTGAGGCTAGCCATTAGGTTATCTAGCTTATCTTCAGTACCTGCAACCTGGCAATAAATTACGTCAGGTGAATCCACTGCCGTGATGTACRATACGTCCCCTGATGAAATCTTTAAATTTTCTAAACTTTCTAGTGTCTTCAAAGCCGTTGTTGGTCTTTGTTCTGCAGAAGATGAAGACACCCAAACTGCAAGGCCTTCATTGACGAGTGTYTCTCCAATGTTAATATCTTGGGTGTCATCACTGGTATCAAACAGAGTCACTTCCATCTTTCCTTTCCCTAAAAYGGACAACACAACAGTTACTTGCATCCAAGCTAGTCCACAATGCACCACATTTGCTATTTCACAAAGGTTACATTGGCCTGGGACAGGATTYGAACCCAGWTCTGTTGACCCAGAGCCTGAATCACTACCCAACATCACATCTTTCCATGACTCTAAGATTAAGTTCATAAGTTTAACCAGGACTAGAGAAAGAACATTGTATATAGATAGATAATTATTACTATCACTTATTATACCTGTTTTGCTAGGTTTTGCAACCAACTGTTTGTGATCCACAAGTTCAACAAATCTATCCTTGGCTTTATCTGACCACTGGGCACCATTACTGGGCTTGATATCAGACAAGCAACACTGAACACATTGAACAGGCACGTCTGTAAACCCTGGTAGAAGACGCTTGACATTGCGGAGGTCAACTACTTCGTGATTTCCATAATCAACAAAGAACACTTCAACTGTGCTTTCATCAACAATCTGAGTGATTTTTCCTCTGTTCCAGGAACTGTCAACTGAAATAACAAAACAATACAGATAAAGTATTGTAATGCCAGTGTAGGGATTAAGATAGTAGCTGGTGAGTTACCAATAATATTATTATAAAAATATATTAGTTTTTTTAGCGTTACTGGTCAAAATAAATGACCAGCAAGTCAAAGATTTGACCAGACAAGTTTCAATTCTGGYCTGCCATTGTGTGATGAGCAGAYGTTATTTTAAAATCTGAGGTGCTATTGTTATGTTAATGCTACTAGAGCATTAATATGCATTGTCATGCTTATAATTGTGTTATGTAGGATTCCACTTCCCAGACATTAGTAATAGATACATACTTGTCTGGTGGGCAGTGTTTTCCATATACTATCCCTCTCCTAAATGCCCTCTGGTGACTATTAACAACCCAGAGGGGGTAAGAAAAAGAGGTTCCTGCTATACTAACCTTAAAATTACTTCTAGCCCCCACAATGGAGTCTGTTAGAACCCTAGTCTGATCTGAGACAGGGGGCAGTGTTACCATGTTAGCTTTTGCAGAGAAAGAAAACCAGAAAACCTTAAGGAAAATCCTCAAATCAAGGAGCTCCAACAAACTCACATATGACGAGGAAGTTCTTAGATTCATAAATGATCAAAAACTTTAAATGGAAAAGTGTCTGCAACTGTGATTTCCAAGACCCTTGGATTTATAAATATTCTGAAGAAAGTGTGACTAAGGTTCTGGAAATCGCAGCTGCAGAGACTTTTCTGTTCAAAGGCTCTGATCACTACTTTTTAACTGAAAAAAATCTACCCCATACACAAACAGCACCTATTTAATTACCTGCATAAAGTGCACAGCATAGCATATTGATTTCTGGCTTGACAAGGTTGTTATCATTTGGACCCATCTTGCTATAGGTGTCTTGTATCTCATATGTCAGCTGTCCAAAGGTTTTAATATTATCTGTGGATAATACTTGGCAATAGAAATCCTGTGGACTATGGCATATTAAAGGGTTGACATCAATATAACCATCTTCTGTGAGCATCATCGYACAAGGCTTGTAATCTGAAAATGACAAACAATCAACAAGTCATGGTGTAGTTTACTTAGAGATCAAACTGGTATTCAGCTTTCTAGGATTTTGAAAGGGAAGAAAAATAGGAAAAAAAACTTGAATCAAGGGAGAGACTTAAGAAACTTATGAGGTAAGTGTATCACCACTATCCTACCCTTGATTCACATCTAAGTCAACAACATTAACACAGGGTTGGTGCTAGGTTCCCAAGAAATTATTCAAKGAGTTTTCAAGGAGTATTCAAGGACCAAAATGACATTTTTCAAGGAGTAACTTTTAAGAGGGTTTTATTTTGGTATTAAAAAAATAAGATGAAAATGCCAATACTAATCGAGATGTGCCAATTTGTCACGTGATATCTACGAAACATTGGGCTACTAAGTTCTGGAAAGCAAAAAATAATAAAAAAGACGCTTCTCCCAAGATGTAGTGAAAATCTCTAATTTTAAACAATGACAACCACTCACGGTTTACATATCTTGAAAGTATTACTGACATTTTTTCATGGACAATTTTTCAAGGAGTATTCAAGGACATTTCTACTTTTTTTTCTATTTTCAAGGAGTTTCAAGTGCCCTCAAAAATGCATTTTAAATTCCAGCACTTTTCAAGGAGTTCAAGGACCTGCACAAACCCTGTTAATAGTACCAAAATCAGTCATCTGTTAGCACTGAGATTAATAATGATGGATCAAATTTTGGAACTAAGAGAGGGAAACTAATGTCATGTAATCAGTTGGAGCTCTCAAAATGGTCACAAGAGTTGACCAAAATTCAAACACAATCATTCATTATTTCTGCTGTGCTAATAGTTGAGTTMGTGATTCAGTAGTAACAACGACACAGCAGCAACAACAACAGCTGTAACCTACCTGTTGTTTTGTTTGGATTTGCAGCTAATCCTTTCTCAACCAATGCACCAAGAACTAGATCTCTTGATCCACTAACATCAAGTACATCCACCACATGGCAGTCGTTTGGTAGTTTCTCAACCACTCTGATAACAGCATCCTTTTCCACAACCAGGTCTGTGAATTCCTGAATGGCTGCTGGAGACCATTTAGAGCTACCATCAGCTGGGATGGCTTGGTGAAGGCTACACAGTATAGCTTGGTCTGGWAGAGCTTGGAATTCTTGCTTTAGAACCTTTTATTTGTTAGAAAACAGTAAAGATAGATAAATAATCTATAAGATCTGCATGACTGTGTGCTGAAAAGATGGAAGAGTTACCACATAAACCGAATTGGTAAGCTGCATCTCATGACAAACACTTATACGTGTACAATGTACGATGTAGCTTGCAAAACCTTACATACTAAATTCCATTTCTAAACCTCCATTTCAGCCCGTGACTTATATTTGCTGACTATATTTCACGTTCAATAAGATTTGAAAGATCAGATATTGCTGCTTTCAATGCTGCTGTCATGCACTTCTTGGTAAAGCAGGCTGCATGTGAGCAGATGGCATCAACAACACGCRCAGGTCACTAATACAGCACAATCTCAACCAATCATAGTGCAAGTAACAAGTTGACTATGTAACTGAATTTATTTAGAATAATAAATAGATAAATAAATAACTTATTTAAGTTTCAATGTATTTAGTTTATACAACTAATTTAATGAAACTGAAATGAAGAAATAATCAAAGAAATATAAAGTGTTTTAAGAATACCAACTGGCAAGGAGGCAAACAGTTGGCTATTTACAAGCATGGTCGAGAAACTGAATTTGAACTAATCAGAAACCAGGACAAATGCAGTCTCAGCTAGTGGCCACAACAGGACTCGAACTCAGCACCGGTGCTGAGCCCACTGGATTGAGAGACTGACACTATGACCACTYGACCATGCTCCTCCCTTAGAGACTTGAAAGACCTAACTAAGCACTGATAAATTTGTAGCTAATCAACCAGGCAGACAAATTACAGTATTTTTACCTTCAAGGAACTGGCTGGCTTGCTTTCTGAATTTCCAAAGTCAACAAAATGAACTTGTACTTGGCTTCCTTGAACGGCAGTTATCTTGGCTCTATACCAYCCTTGGTCTAGGCTATACTGAGTAYAGCAATAAGAACCAACAACAGGAGAAGGCAATACGCATTCTGTTGGGCTGAGACATTCATAGTACACCCCTATGTCTTCTAGTAAGCTGTTTAAAGTATCAACATTGGAGTTCAAGTTGAACCAAAACTGTGATGGTGTTGCRGCATAACCACACTGGCCTTCATCGGTCTCTCTAATAGTTAGGCTGACACTGGCTGTCTCAGTTTGCACAGGTTTTTCTGTGAAATTAAAAGAAGTTAATCTTAAAGTAATTTTAAGAAACGATGAACTAAAGACATTGCTGGTAAGTGGCATCCTGTATAGCTCGGGGGTTGAGTGGTCTAGCTCTTTTGGGAGGCTACTCTTGTTTCACTATTGAGTATTTTTACTCCTTAAGTGGACAGTATCTTGAAAACCTAACCTAGATCCTCAATTGGTACTAAGAAAAGTTAAGTTTTTCAGTTGTCTTTTGAGCCTTAAGTATCACTTGATATCAACCATCTTAAAAAACCTTATGAATCTCATTGCCCAGCYTTCATTGAAGGGCAAACACTGCCCTCCATACATTTTTATCTAGGTATATTTCTATTTAAGACTGCCACATGAAGGGTAATGCAGAGGCAAGAAATAGCAATAACAGAAAACCATGGCTTACAAGCCACTGCAGCTAACTTTGACTCACAGTRTTACTCACCTTTTTCTTGCAATAAGCCCTCATTGGCCAATATTTGATGTAGAGACTCTCCAGATTCCTTCTTGATCAATTCAACATCAAAAACACCTTCTGCCACCATGGAAAGAATCTTCAAATCAAACAGTGTTTCAGGATCACTGACCAGCTCTATGAATCTACTAGAAGCAGCAGTACTGAAATCCTTTGGATTAGTCAAGCTACACTGTATTGCTTGKGCAGGTAGCTCTACAAACTCAGGCTTTAATTTCTTTACTCTTTCTAGAGGTAGGACTTCAGAGTTGCCATAGTCTACGTAAAACACCTCAACACTATTGCCATGAACAGTGCTCAYCATGGCACGATACCAGCCATCATCTTCGCTGAACTTTGCAGCACAGTAAACACCTACTTGAGGATTAGATACAGCGTCTTGTGTGCTTTTAAGGTTGTCATAGTAACTGTACATTTTGTCCATGACATTSACCAAGGATTCTGCTGTTTTAGTGAGCTGACAATAGAACTTAGAAATGCTAGAAGCAAGTACAACAAAGGCAACCTCTGTCGTTCCCACATTTAGAGGAATTGGTTGAATCTTTAATAAAGTTTCAGGCTGACATTTGGTTAATTGTTCTGTCAATGGTCTCTTGGTATCTGCACAGTACAGTTCAACTTTGGCTTTGTCATCATTCTCTATTGCAACAACTTTCAGGTCAAACATCTTATCCAAGGTTAATTCTCCAAACTGTGAGTCTGAAAACTCAGAATTATTTCCTGCCAATGAACAGAAAATTCCTTGTTGTGGGAGTTGAGAGAAGGACTGAGATAGCTTTTTGATTCTAGAGGCTGGYAAGCTTTCACCATTGCCAAAATCTATGTACACTACATTATACATATTATCGTTTGATGMTAGTATTTTAGCTCGATACCAGCTRTCATCTTCYGTGTACTGACCAACACAATAACAGCCTRCTTTAAGTTGAGTTAGCTGTTCTTGGTCTGGAGCGAGAGCTTTATAATGAGCATCCATTTTGATCATCATTTCATCTAAATGTGCRGCACTACACATGAACTGACAATAAAACTCTGACAACCCATTCACWGTTGTCACACACACATTCTCCTTTCTTCCTGGCTTGATGTCCTGTTTGGGTACCACTATTTCTTTGCTGCTAACGTCTGGCATTAAAGGTGCTATGGTGTCGAATATATTTTCAGTACCATTGAGTAACAGCGTAAGGTACTGTTCATGTGTTTTGTCAAAGGACTCAATCATGAGAACAAGCTCTTTATCTACTGTCAACTCACAGAATTTATCAATGGCTTCAGGGGGGAAGGTGATGAGAGTCGTAACATCAAGCTGAGCAAGTCTGCATTTGAAGGCTTGAGCAGGCAATTCCATAAATTCTGGCTTGATAGTTCTAAGATCGGAGAGTGGCACTTCATCATAGTTTCCGTAGTCAATGAACTGAACTTCTACCTTGTTAGTTCTCTTGATTCCTGTGATGCTTGCACGGTACCAAGCTTCATCTTCACTGTACTTTGCACAGCATGCAAGACCTAAAAGCCAAAGAATGCTCGTCAATTGGCAAACCATCTCTTTCTTAGAGTATATGGCCCTTGTAAAAGAGTATTTCACACAGATTTATTTACAACCATCACTCCTCACAAGGGGCTCTTCTATCAGGCTCATTCCACATGCACTACCCGGGGTTCTTTATTAAGGGTAAGAGATCAGAGAATGTTCCAGTAACTGAGCTAAATTCTTTRGCTTAAACTACCATGATYTTCTCCWATTATTTMAAAACTTAATGAAAACCCTGACTATAACTACCTTGGCTATTTGCAACACAAAACACTCAATTCACAAGCTGATTTTAACACAGAGAGAAAACCCTCTTGTCCAGGGAGAGAACAATGCATCAAACACTCAACTCACAAATGCAGTTCAGTGAATCAAACCCCCAACTCCAGGTATCAACTACACAGTGGTAAGAAACAGCAATGTAGCACTGCAAGTCACCCATACTACCATTTAAATGAACTTACCTAAAGAAGGGTTGCGTATGACATCCTTTGAAGAAGTACAATAATCATGGATAKCAGTCATTACATTATTAAGATCATCTTGATGTTTAGACAACTGACACCAGAARTGGCCAGGATCCTCTACATGACTCACAAAGACATCTTCATAACCACCTATGTTAACAGTCACATTGGTGAACTTTCTGGAAGCCACTCTTACAAGGTTTTCAGACTGAGTATATGCACCATCAATCAGAGTTGCATTTCCCTTTAATAACATAGATTCTGCCAGGTTGATGTCCTTGCCTCTCTCATGTACCACTAACTCRACTCTGTGAAGTTCATCATCTTCTAAAGCAATAACTGTCAATTTTCCAGTACATTCCAAGGCTAGGTCTTCAAATGCCTTTATATCCGTACTTCTCCAATCTTTACTTCCTTTTGGACATATTCTGTTTAATGTGCACTTAATGCCTTGACAGGGTAGCTCAGAGAATTGAGGAGAAAGCTTTTTAACACTCTTAGATGGGACTGTCTCAGAGTTACCATAATCAACAAACAGCACTTCTACTTTTCCAGAGGTCAAGACATCAGTGACTACAGCTCTATACCATGACTGGTCTTCAGAGAACTTTGCACAGCAAGGGTCACCAACTAATGGATTAGCAAGCCATTCATCCTCAGGTCCCAGCCGAGAGTAATGTCTTCTTATGTCACTCATAAGTTTCTCAAGTTTGGTAGAAGTTCTGTAAAACATGCAGTAGAATAATGATGGGCTGGTAACTGATGAGACAAGTACTTTTTCTTCTTTACCAGGAGTGAGGACCTCCTTTGCATAAGGAGAAGTAGCCCTTCCCAAAGTGTCTTGAGGCTTGCTCCTGATCTGTGTAGATGATTGTGGAGAGCTTTGCGATCTTCCTTGTCCACTCTGAGGTCTTCCAACATCTTGGAAGTTACTGCTAACCTTTTCAGCATATTTTGCTGCAATCAGAATTTGATCTACTTGCATGTCCATTTCTCCTGTAGTATCGACCAGTTTCACCCAGTATTTGCCGTCTGGGTCCTTTTCATAAATCTCACCAACGATATGCTTATCTTTGGTAAGTTTAGAAAACAAGGTTTTTGCATCTGTAGACCACCCCTTACTCTTATTCTCAGGTCCTATACCAAGAAGTGCACATTCAACAGTTTGAGCCGGTAGATCTAACAACTTCGCTTGCAATTCTTTTACATCAGATACAGGAGTATTTTGAACATTGCCATAGTCCACAAACTTCACCTCAAGRAATCCTGATGACACAGCACTGGAGTTGGTAATCACAGCTCGATACCAGCAGAAATCCTCTGCGAATTTGGCACAACAAGGRTAACCCACACCACTAGACTGCAAGGGAAGCTCTCCTTGCTTCAAATCTTCATATTCCTTTGCAATCTCATCCATCAGATCGAGTAGTTCTTCGGAACCTTTAACAAATTGACAGGAAAATRAATGCGGGTCTTGGACGTCAGTAACACAAACATCTATGTAATTTCCCTTTGACAGCGAGATAGTCTTAAAACATTTCTTATCTACAATTTCTAGTGGTTCTTGTCCGTTTGTGGTCGTAGCTTGAGGAGTTCTTTGTACTTGGGACAATAGATGGGAAAGTATAGAATCCCGACAATTGATATCTTTGTAGAGATTCACAATAAGGACATCGTTACTCACTGAACTAGTCACGCACGACAACTCTTGCTCCAAGATTAGACCTTTCAGCGTAGATACRGCATCTTGCATATTCGGTCCTCTAAACTTGCTAATATTTTCAAGCGCACATTCAAAGACTTGTGGTGGTAGATGAAGGAAGCTTGGCTTTGCAATGCGTAGAAATTTGATTGGAATTTGTTCGGTATTTCCGTAATCTATGAAGTACACTTCGCAGATKGCGGCTTTGACAGCTATCACACGTGCACGATACCATCTCGCATCTTCTGAATACTGGGCAAGATAAACCGTTCCAGCYTTAATCTCTCCAGCCGTAAGGCCCTGGGATTCCTCACTTGATATAAAACTATCAATCTCGGCCATTAATTCATCCAACTTTCCCGCCTCTTCGTTGTTGAGTTGAACGAAGAAGTTTCCCGAGTCATTGTGCACATGAGTGACAAACACGTCGACTTTCGGGCCCAAAGGAAAAGCTGCCCGTAAATCCATGATAAAGAGAATCTTACACACAATCTTTTAAGCTCTATTGTCGTCAAACCATGCTAGGTATACGGGAATTTAGGAAGTCTAAAGCCCAGATATAATAAAAAAGTTCTGGAATGCCTCRGGTCTTGCAGCTTTGCAAGCCTCGTGGTCGGCGAAGTGCGAGGGAAAAGCGAGGGAAAGCAGACCATAATGTTCCTTCGGAGAGCTTCGRAGCCCTTCCTCGGCCTACACTCGGCAAGTCGACATAAGATCGTAGCCAAGGCAACAGGACGTCGTTTATCCGTCGATAATCAATCGTAGACAATTCGAGGCGAGGTTACACAGGTACTTTTTCTTCCAAGATGGCGGCCATAACACAAGGAGGAAAAATGTGGAGATCTTTGACTCTTAGTAGCCACAGAAACGCCTTAAATAGTTGTAAGTACAAAGRTCTACCTTTAATTCTTTATGAACTATGCATACAAGCTGTAATTTTGGTTTTCGCTTGAACCAAGGCTTTTAATTCTGAATTTGTTGTTCCGGGTCAAAGTCCGTTCGGGTCCACCATGACAGAGATCATGCAAGTTAAAAATTCGAAAAGGCTTTAAAATTGTGGTTATTGTATAAGTACGTTTTTTATGAATGATTGATCAAAATTTCCTCTCGAAGGTAAGCTCCCGTTAGCAGTTATGACAAGGTTTTATGCATAGTTTTGACAGAATTTGTGGTCACCCCACACGTGTACATTTTTTGTACAGTACTTGTAAGTATAAAACTTACTCATCCTTCGCTGTGGTGATCTTGTATTTTGGTATTCTTTCTAGTGGCAGCCAGATGCAGCAGTACTGTAGCACAGAAAAGGAAGGCATCTTCTGCAAAAGGTATGGAGAAATAGGATACTCTCAAACCAGTGATAGCAATAACTCAGATTTTGTGATATCACATTGTATATCTGTCACTACAAATAGAGCTGATTTCTTACAACTAAGAACTCTTTATGATATTGACATGCTGTAACCATGATGGACCTATACCTGATTGTTCATAATGTACATACATCAGTATAGTGTTTTATAATAAATTGTTATCTTTTTCTTACCTTGATAATGTGTGTGCTGCAATCGTTCACAATTCGAAACCATATCAATTCTATACTGTTAACAATAGAAGATGTTATGACCTGTATATAAAAGGGGTTTAGGCTGGCCTAGTTGTGGGGGGAGAGGGGCACATGACTAAAAATCCCTTGAAATGTAAAGAACATTGAAACAATCACCGTATTAGTTGATCTAACAAGAGAAGATAATGAGGAATGCTTTGTTATCATCAACCAACATGGCTGCTGTGATGTAAAATACACCCTAAGAATAGGCTACTAACTGAAGTATTTGTAATTTATGCTGTTATTCACAAAGTCATGTTGTGTTTTATAGCTACAGCGAAAACAACAGGCAGAAATGTGGTCCTTGTTGATGGAGTCAGGACACCATTCTTAATGGCTGGAACAAAGTAGGTTTACCAAACAGAACAGAACAGAGGTTTATTGCTCTTAAATATTAATAACATTTGGTGACAATTTAGGGAAATTTAAATATGATATAAATGTATAATAAAAATCTATAATAAAGTCTGTGATAAGGAAATTACGCTGATAATTAAATATTGTCTAGCTTCTGGGTAATGAAAGTGATGTTATTATAATTTACAAAAATATTATTTTTGAGCATCAACTCATGGATGGTATAAATAATTTTCCAGCTATGCCAACCTTATGCCTCATGATCTTCAAAGGGGAGCATTGGAGTAAGTATGATTATATCTTTCTATTTATATATTCATTTATTTCTCTAGCTAGCTTAACGGCTTGTTTCTTGTTGCACTAATACAAGTGATTTTGTATCAATCATTTTAGAATGATTGCATTATTTTGTAAGGACATTTCCGCTATTTCGCTTTTGTGATGGCATATAGTTTGTTTGGAAGTTTTATGAACTGAAGAAGTAAACCTGCAAAATAATCTTTTGCAATATCATGGATTGGGTTACCTGTGGAGAGAACATGCCACAGGAAGCCCAACACAATTATACAAAAAATGCCAAATTAACATTGCATTCTTTCCCCCTATTCTTAGAGGTTTGCTTAAAAAGACTGGTGTTAGTACAGGTAATGTATTTAAAGTAMYCTCTRAACAAAGTGCAATATAAYTCACCTTTTGAGCACTAGTCRTCACGTGGTATAAAACGTGTTGGATTTTGTTACGGCCACCAAGAAGTTCAGACATTGTTCTCGGAATTCCGTATGAATGTACTGGTTTGTTTAGTTAACTTTCTAAATACTAGCAAAATATCATTTCTCTAACTTGATTAAAGCTTTTCTTACTGCTGCTTAGAAAAGTATTAACTAAAGAAATCAATCTGAATTTTCTTTTTAAATTCAGTAAATTTGTATGGGAATC